TATACTCAGCATCAGATTGTCCAACAGCTCTTGAGGTAAGAGTAACCATTCTTCAAACACAATCTGTTTCAGTACTTGGGTGTTCCCCTGGAGGATGTAATCATGCCACAAGGCGTCTCTCCAAAACATCCCACACATGTTATATTCATTTGAATAAGGAGAAGACGCTGGCAAATACATTAAAATGATTCATCCACTTTCCAGTAACTGCTGAACATCAGCAGACCGGCGTGGCCGTTCTTTGTCATCCAAAACGAAATCTGCTTCAATAGCACCTCGGGACTGGCTCACATGGGGAAGGATCACCCCATTATAGCGATTGTTGTTCACAGAACCCTTGTCGAAAACGTGAAGCTTAGTCCACCTGTTCAGCATAATGCCTCCCAGATGACAACTCCAGGAACACTGTAAAGGTCTCTTTTCTTGATGTTATTGGTACGAAAGAAACCGTGTATCAAGAGAATCGCTTGTGGTACTGAAACGACTCATCTATGAAGAGGGCACGTCTCAATTGATAAGATGTCCAGTTTTTGTGCTTCTTACTCCACTCTATATGGTGCTGCAATTGACCAACTTTCAAAGGATGCAGCGTTCAGAACGACGTGCCAATAGTCCACCTTTGTGAAGGCGTCTGGTCACAATAAACTGCGACACTTATAACCCTGTTGCTGTGCACGGTTACTGAAAGATGGCGCTTGCTGACTGCTATCGGGTACTTTTCATCTTCAGGACGATATATCAGTCATTAATTAAAGTTTTTCCTGATTCGACGTCCACCAACCTTTCTAATAGTTATACCTATGATTTGGAAGGCTTTCCATGAGCATCAAATGACACTTTGTTGATCCCGAACTCTTCAGCTAAACTGGTAAAACTATGATCCTCCTTTAGCTTTCCGATCCTTCCTCCACGTGTGAAGTCATCCAGGTGATTCTTTCTAGCCATATTTCACAAAAGAATTTACTTGTACTTGCAGTGAATGTCTTTAATTGCGCCTCCGTTCTTCCTTGTATTGTAGTTTTGCATTGCCTGTGCCGAGCTCACGTCGCCTATGACGTTTTGTTCCTGACATTTGTATACGTATCACCATTCTATTGAGTTGCATGTTCGTCATACTGATCGCAATAACCTCTCTTCTGCAATTTAATGGATATCCTCTTAAAATTTACATTGCTGCTTAAATTTAACACAACAGTGATTCAAATTGATTCAATGATTGCTTTTTAATGGCGAATTAGCAACAGACCTCGAAATTTTTAACCTCGGTCATGTAACAAGGACGACATCTAAACTAGAACCACTATCAAACTCTTTAGACTTCCAAGTGACACCTACGTGAGGAATTTGAATGTCGACAGATTTAATGTACATCGACCCCTCTGCACGGTGGGTCCTCAGTAGCACAAGGACTTAAACAGATAACTTAACCATTGCGATTGCTTTAAAATTGGGAATGACTTGCTTAAAGCACAGAAAGATTGTAAAATATATTTTTTATTTTTTTAAAATCCATTTTGATTGAAACAACTAATTTTATTTTGTAAGTAAAATTACACAAAAGTTGATTGGATTATATACTCGTATTGTTGAAGTACTTTAAATTATTAACTAATGTAATACTTCTTAGAGCTTTCCTTTAAAATTTAGAAAAAAAGTGAAATGCTGCGGAATTTTGTTATTTTTTTTTACAACAAGATCTGAAGATAATTTTAATTTGCATATCATTTGATACAAAAATCCTTAACATTCTTCGGCCGAAACTTCATTTGATATTTTTATAAAGAATAAAATTATATTTGTATTTTATTTCGCGTTCATGGATGAGAAATTTTCTGGCTTTTCTTTCTGGTATTTGCATTTTCGTCTCTTTCAAACCTTTACTTTTATTTTTTTATTTCAAAATCTTTCACTGCCATTCTTTTCTTCTATTTTTACTGAGGCGAATTTTCTACAGCTCAAAAAACTAAAGCACACGTATATGATTTATTGATCGAAATTTATTCGACTGAAATATTCTTATTTGTATAAATGTTTTTACTCAATCTGCGTACGTCTATTCTCTTTTCGAAGACGTCTGCAATTTGTAAATAAACTTCATCAGTCGTTCCTGTGATATTATAAAAGAATACTCGGAAGAAATTTTTTTAAACATAATTTCAAGTATAATAACTTTTAGTTCTCTGTATATATATATAAATTCTTAGCTATATTATTTCTTTTAAAGAGGCAAATAATTCATTTTGACTGTTAGAATCAGTTCATTGAACACAAGAAAAAAGCAAAGAATAGAAAAAAAAATTGTTTCTTTTTTTAATAACATTTTTAATAAAATAGAATTAATAGGTGGAAATATAATATTTTTCGATTGGAAAAGGTTATTATATAAAAAAAATCTATGGCCGCGCCTTTATTGGTTTTATTCATACGTTCCTCCAGTGGTGATGTTCTTAACAAGTCATGGTTTCATGTCATTTTTTTCACAAAATGAAGGGTAGAATAAAACATTAAGAACGAAATTGTCACGTGTTGTAGAGTGGAAGTATGGAAAGGGATGAAGAATGAAGAGGATTACTGCGAATTTGATGAGTGCCGTGAATCTCTAATTGTTTACTTTTATCTGTTTAAGTATGATTTGATACTATTATAATATTTTACTGAAAAACAAAGTCCTAAAAATAACCTAATTATCTCGAAATTTTGCATGCTAATTTTTTTATACCAGGTATATAAATAATTAAATTTTGAAGGTCGATGTGAATGTTAATCTAGGTGAAACCGCCCCTTAAAGCTGCTTAACTAGCATTGAATGAAACAATAATAATCACGTACTGTTTACATTTCCTCATTCCTAATGTTGCAGTTCTCTGGAAATATAACCAATAATGATGATAGAAGTTGTCGAAAACGTTATAGGTAATTGAATGATTTTGAGCGCAATCAGTATGATACGTGAATCTGGATGGTTATATCGAGAAATGGACTGCATTAGGCGCAGTATAGACCTTGCTGAACAAGGATGCTTAAAACAATGGTTATTGTAAGGGAAACGTTTGCAGAACGAGTGCTAAGAAAAAACTAAGGTGCATGAATGTGAGGAAAGGTCGAATAATTTTGAGACATGCCCTAGCTACACTTACGACGTCGTCGTTCTACGTCATTCACAGTATGAAAGAGTCAATACCCCGTCCATATTATGCATAATATCTTCCACCTATTAGGAAACTTACTTGTAGCGGGATTGCACTTAAAGCGGTCTATAACAGGGCGAGACCTGCTTAAGCCGAATCGTCACTGGTGGTGAAACCTGGGTGCTTCACATAATCTCGGAATCCAAATTGCAATAGACGGAGTGGAGGCACACATCATCGCCAACTTAGACAAAAGCCAAACCACTAAAAATATTGTAAATTGATGTGTACCGTGTTTTGGGATCGATATGGGGTTTTGTTGATGGATAACAAGGCACACGGAAACATATCAGCCATGTACGTTCTTGCGAGACGCTTAGAAAACAACAGCGTTGCGCAATACACGAAAAGAATCGAAGGCATTCTTTGTGACAGAATTTTGTTCATTCATGGCAATGTACGACTACACAATGTGCGCTACACGCAACATGCCTTATGGATGTGAAATAGAAAATTTTTGACATCCCCCACCTACAGTCTGGATCTCACAGCAAGTGACTTTCATCTATCTATTCAAACATATGAAGTCCTTTCTTGCTGAGAAGCTATTCCTGGACTTGGAAGAGGTGAGATTTGTTGTTACCCAATGGTTACAATCGCAGACTGCATCTTTCTTTGACAAGGGCAGTCAAACATTCATGGCTGGCTGTGATAAAAGCTTAAACAATGGTTGTACCAATGTAGAAAAATAGTTTCTGTGACCATTGTAGTTTATTATTTAATAACAGTTAATTCTAAACGGTTGTTTATTTTTTCTTTTGTTAAACCTATTTCTGAAAAAAAGTCTCCGAACATTGTAACATTGATAACATTTAGTCCTAAATGGTTTGTTTTCTTTCTTGTGCTACTAAGCTGAACTTACTTTCTGGATTATCTACGAACAAATAATTTTTTACGGTGGAAGAAGTAATATTCTATTATACGTTTTAAATGTATCGTTAGAACCTGATTTCAAACATCGATTTTAGTATCGATATAAATCAAAATGTTACAAATAATCATTACAAGAGTATAGGAAGTAAAAAAACATAAAAATTACAATCGAAACAATGTTATTTAACTTTAAATAGAAGTAATTTATTGGGAAACACAATATTCAACAGTCTAAAATATTTGTTAAAGCTAAGATGATCATCATTTGGATATTAAAGCACTGCACGGGTAAAAAAGAGTACTGATACACATAAAATCTTTTGTAGCTCAAAATGTTTCACATTAGAAGGGATGGAAATGAGAAGTGGGTTGACAATTTCGGATGTCTTGAGCATTCATTGGCAATCTGAATCCTAATTCAGAAATCTCAATGTTCAATATTTCAGAAAATATTGTATTAATGTAGAATGAGTTTAACCCCTTAAGTGGTCAATATTTTTGCTCCAAATGTTAAAAAAAAAGAAAAAAAAAAAAAAAGAGGACATTATATGTTATTGCATATAATTAAGAAGAATACTTAACAGAATGCGAAAATGCAAGAATTTTATTTTAATTTTCAATTTAAAGTTTTTACACTATTTTTTTTATTTTATAATTGTGTAACACAAAACCCCCTAAATGTTTTTTTTCAGTTCCAACCATTAGTTCACTATCACCTATATATATATATAGTTCAAATTTTCAATCGTTAATAAAATACTTTCAATTTATACATTCAAGTTCAAATACATTTTTTTAAACTTGCAGTGGATGACACTTAAAGTTAATACAGATTTTTCAAATATGAATTCAGTAATTAAATTAAAAAATGAATAAAAAGCAACAAACAAAAGTAATAGTCCGGCAGCATTGGATATAGAAAGGAAAATCACTCGATGTGTCCTTGCAGCGCAATGGATGGTGCTTTAGACTTTTAATCCAAAGGTCGTGGGTTTGAATTCCACCAGGGATGTTCTAACTTCTGAGAATGTGATTTTTTACTATACTAATTTATTAGAATAAGTAAATTTAATTAATGAATAAGTCGTAACAAAGAGAAAAAATAACCATATATAGAAAGGAAAATGGAAAATTGCAAGGGAAATCTGTTCCTATTTTGTCATAATATTAAAGACATATTTATATTAATTGTAAGTATTTGATAAAAAGTAATTAAAATGTTTCTTTGTTGACTTAAGTAGGGATTGACTGAATTTTTTATATTATTTGTTATAAGTAATATGAAATATATTTCATATTCACACACACACACACTTCTTTTTTCAAACACACGGTTCAGGATTGGTGTATGTATGTGCGTATTTTTATTCACACACAAATTAAAGCATGACCTCTCTCTCTTATAATACATATGTCATACTGCCATACGTCTCTCTCTTATACTGCAATGAGACTGACATATTATCCTTTTTTATTATCTTCCTATTTTCATTTCTTTTCAAGCAATAAATTGCCCATTGGATTTCCAATACCTGTTCTTTATCGAATATTTTCAAGAATCAAAACTCTTACCTTCAATGAAAATTCCTTCCTTCACTACAAAGAAAATACTAAATGCGAAGTATTTCAGTATCATGGACAAACTGCATCTTTTAAAAACTACAGCACTAATAATCTCGGTATAAGAATTAAAAATATGTACAAATAAGAGATAGAAAGAAGAAAATATCAGTGCCCGTGGAAAGAACGGGCAATCAGGCTGTATCCAGCCTTTGGTAGCCCGTAAGGAGTACGGAAAAAACAGTTAAGAGCTTAAAATAAAGATATTTATGTCATAAAGTCCTTAAGTTCTGACTAGATGATTAGTTAAATTTAATAAAAATTATATATAGTTGAGAAAGAATTTTCCCGTAAATTATGTATGATAGTTGTATTTTTTGCCGAATGAGAATTTCGCTTGAATTAGAAAAAACAGCAAACTTAAATTGTATATATATGTATATATCATGTACTCTTGTAAATTAAATTTAAATGCTTCTTTATTACGAAATTTTTTTATTTAAAATTTAAGAAAAACTGATACTCTAATAAAAAAGATTAAAACCAGGAAATATTTTATTTCATATTGATGATAGAAAATTGATTGAAATGGATAAAAATAATTCAGAGTGAGAGGAATATTACTTAAATAAACGTCTAGGCCAGTGATTCTCTACCACTGTGCCTCTGTTCTTTTGTGTGACGCCAACATTTTTTAAAATTACTAATTATGCTCTGAGAAAAAAAAAAAAAATCCGGGACTGAATCATTCGGTAATTAACAAAAAATGATGTAAAATTTAGATGAATTATAACTGCAATAAACTATGGAGAATAATAGTTAAAAAAACTCCTTTATATATAAAATGCCACTTATTATTCTTTCGCAAAAGTTTATTCGTAGTGGTATATTTTTTAAAAAAATTGTTTAAAATATTAGTACTTACGAAAAATTTCAATTAGCTTTCTTATAAAAGCAAATGAAAAACGTCTATTTCAAAATGCAATCCATTATGGCTAATGAATCGTTGTCTGGGATGCTGGAACAGAGTCAACGTTTTATTACTGATTTCACCCGAACAATCCAGAAGGAAAAATAAATATTTAAAAAAAATAACTGCGTTTTTCAAGATTTTCTTGCTGGAACGAAAAAACTTTCGAAAAAATGCATTTCTTGTTCTCTAATTGAGTGAATCAGTTCCGGGGAATCAAATTTTTTGGTGCCTATCTGAGAATTAACGCATAAGATGTATATAAAAATATACAATTCTGTAGTCTTCTTTTTGGATCTGGGAAACACGTGATGCTTTGTAAGATTAATTTATTTTAAAGAATAATAATATCATAAATGTCAAGTTTATGACTCCTGCCTGAAAATTAACATTATATTTTATCTACTGAAAGGTAAAATTGTTATAACATTCAGACAATTTGGAGAAGAAATGAAATTATGTTTAATTTTATTGAGCATTTCGAAACACACACATTAACACTTTAACCGGTGAATTTTTTTCCCAAAATGATTTTAAAAGAGGCATATTTTTATTCCATATAACTAAACAAAACACTTAATAGAATAAGAAAATGGAAAGATTTTATTTTAATTTTCAATTTTAAAGTTTTCACAGAATTATTTTTTATAATTGGGGAACACAAAAACCCTTAAGTTTTTGCTTACACTCTGGTATACTCTTGGTAGACTCTGGATGCTATGAAGAATTTCATATATTTTAAAATAATTTCTCTTATACTTGCAAAAATTTTCAAGTTCGTAACTATTTTTCAAGTGGTTGAGGTTTTTGTGTGTGTGCACATATACACTCACACACAATTTGAAGCATGTTGTAATACAAAGTCTTACATTGCAATTGGGATAGGAATATATCGTCTTTTTCGGATTATCTTTCCATTTTCATTTCTTCTCAAGCAACAAACTGCACATTGTCTTGCCGATCCCTGTTCTTCGTCGAAATTTTCAAGGATCTAAATTCCTGATTTCAAAGAAAAATTCCCGCCTTCACCACAAAGAAAATCCAAGAGAAGAAGCACTTCAGTACCATGGACAAACTGCTTTTCTTAAAAATTCTACCAATAATAATCTCATTATAAAACTTAAAAATACGTGCAAATAAAAGATAAAAATAAGAAAACACCAGTGCCGTATAGGCAAACCAGTTGCGGTCTATTTTAAGTAACACGTACGGTCTATGAGCAAAGAACTTAAGGAGTTAATGTTTATTATTAAACAAATGCGCCAAGCCATTGACCGTAACGTTTCTAGGTAGCGATCTCTCCAATATTCATAACAATGCAGTCCATGTCATTTAGTGCAGAGTACTCGTCAAAATAAGCTGCAGTCATGGTTTGTCCAGAATCTCATAAAATATAATCAGGCAAATAAAACAAATTAAAACTAGATAAGCAGGCATTAAGACAGTCGGATCTGATGAAAAAGCTGATAATGATTGCATCAGCAGATGAGAGGTGAATCCAGGACAAAGTGAGATTTACAAAGCATACCCAGGATTTATCTACAGCAGTGTGGGAAGTCAGATGACGAAATGATTGTCTAAAAATTCTCTTTATCTCTAAGTTAGCAGAATGTTGGGGTAGATTTAAAAAAAAACTTTAGAAGAATATTAGTTTTTTATTGACGGAAACTCTGCCAAATAATTACCCAGATGACCACAAAGAGAAGGTATCTATCAGAAAACAACATTATCCACATCCCCTTTAGGAGCCCCTGCAACTCTATACACTGGGACTCTTATCTTTCTGGTAGTTTCACCAGGCTAGAAGGGCAGGGATACGATTTGAAAAATAACTCCTCTCTCAAAGGTAAGACGAATTGCAGTTGTTGAAGGGCAAAAAAATTGCTATGGTGGTCAAGTGATAAAATATCCGCTTGCCACGCAGGAGGCACTGCTGGCATCTTCAGACATACGTAAGTGTGTTACGGCGAGTGCCGCTCTCTCAAGCTCTTCGAAACACATTAACGTAAGTTATAATTTTTAACTTTGATGTCGTTTAAAATTTTTTAAAAAATACAAATTAAATGTTTACAAATGTTGTTTCGGCTCTTAATTCTCAAAGTAATTTTATTATATCAGTATATTTGAGACAGAATTATATGTAATTTGTTTATAATGTTATTAATATAGCCCACGCGTTATTTCGTACGTCGACATACTTAAACATTCAATCAATAATATTAATTGTTTGTGATTTGATTTGATTTTTCACTAACGTAGCACTGTAAGGCAACACGAGTTCTACTGATGACGGAACTCGCAATTTTAAATCTTGGTTAAGTGACAAGAACATCGCAAGAGCTTGCAATTCCTTTTTTCAAACTTCCATGCAATGCCAACGACGTTAGGGCTTTAAACCACGACTGACTTAACTTGAATTAGCCCCTCTACACAGCAGGTCTTCTGTGTCACACGATTCACCTGCCATGAATTCAGATTAGGATATTGCCACCTATTAAATTTTTGTCAGTTATCTCTATTATAATTTAACATTTGATAACATGATGGTTCAAATTCACGATCAATTTTTTATATAATATTTAGCAATTAAAGCTCAAAGAAAATTTCAAAAGGCTTTCGTAATCATTGTCGAAATAATAACTAATCTTCACGTAGTAAATTTTTCTAAACAGTAACAATGATTTCCTTTCCTTTTTAAGACAGAACTTTTTGCGCATAAAGTATATTTAGACCATGATTTTTTACGGAATTTTACCTAAGAATAAAAATGTATTGCTAACGGTAAAAAAACCTTTATTTCAAAAAATAAAGGAATTCATGTTTGAAGAGTATTATATCAGGTGGTTGTGTGTGCGTGGAACATTCATCAAACAAATCGCTTAACGTAAATGGATTTTTCTTTTAAAATATTAATTAAAGTAAAACAAAAAAAAACAAAGTAAATAATGTTACATTTCAGGTAATTTGCTGAACGAATGTAATGCCAAATAAAATATTCGATTTTAATCCTAAATAAAAATAAGTCTCTATATTTTGCATTTATTTCTTAATATAAAGGTAGTGAAAAAGAATAAAACCATCTTTCAAAAAGCGGATAAAATGCCATATAAAATATTCATAAAAAAGGGGATATCACTATGAAAAATGTTTACTTCAAATAAGTTATTTTTAGTTTGTACTAGATGGGTTTATATATGCACTTTTCGTCCGTCCCAGAAGCTCAAAAATAGGGCATTGAACTGTCATAAATGTATGAAAGAGCATCTGCAATTTCTTATTGAAATATATCCGAAGTCACTTGAAGCTTGAATTACCTATCAATTTCTTAGTCGTGCTTGACCTATAGCATAGAATAGGAAGAAAACTTGTGGATCAAAACTTTTAAAAGTATACTACCAAAAAGAGCTTTTTCCTCAATAGAATTCTTTAACGACAAAAAAAAATGTTTCAGAGTAAACTATTATTTGCTTCAGAAGCAAATA